AGCGAGGGAGATAGTGATACGCAAGCTGCAAGGCAAAGCGACACCTAGCGGCAAAAGTAACGGAGTAACGGGTATAAAAATTACACTGTGCAGCATTTTTAGTGCTTTTTGAATTTACCTCGATGGATGCTATATTTTTGGATTCGTTACGAATTCCCAAGTTAAACTGCGTTTTCCAAAAAGTTCCCCGACGCAAGGATTCTTAGCAAAAGGACCTCAAAGTTCGAAAAATGCTGAAATTGGCCAACTTTGCGGAGCTCTCAGAGGCAAATGGATGCATGGTTTGATTCGATGTTAAAGTTTTTTAAAAGATACACCCCTTATCTTTTAAACCCCATACTTAAAAATTTTTTTAGATTTTTTTTAAGGCAAAAACAAATTCTAGAAAACATAGTCAAAAAACATAAAAGTATACAGCTGCGGTCAAAATGGTAGTAGTGTTGCCGCCCTGTGTATTTAAAAGTTTGTTGTTGTGATTGATCTTTTCCTGGTAATATTGTATTGATCATAATTTTACTATTAGACTAATTGGATAAGAAAAAATTACAACATCAAACTTTTAAAAACACAAGGCGGCAACACTGCTACTATTTTGACCGCAGCTGTATGTTTTTCAGTTTTTTGACTATGTTTTTTGGAATTAATTTCTGCCTTAAAAAAAATCCTAAAATTATTTTATGTATGGGGTTTGAAAGATAATGGGTGTATCTTTTAAAAAACTTTAACTTCGAACCAAGCCATGCATCCATTTGCCTCTGAGAGCTCCGCAAAGTTGGTCAATTTCAGCATTTTTCGAACTTTGAGGTCCTTTTGCTAAGAATCCTTGCGTCGGGGAACTCTTTGGAAAACGCAGTTTAACTTGGGAATTCGTAACGAATCCAAAAATATAGCATTCATCGAGGTTAATTTTTGATGCTGCATAGTGTTATCTGTCCACTTAAAAGCACAGATACAATTCCAGAGAACCTTAAAAAGGTCCTTAATAAATATGGGAAAAGCAGTAATAATAAAAACCATTTTATAGGCCTCATAAAACTGAAAATAAGCTTTGATAAATGAATAAAAAAATGGGTATTAATAATTCCCAATAGCTTCAAAGGATCTGTTTTGAAACATTTTGCCATTGTCTTCGACTTAATTAATCTTAAGCTGATTAACCAACAAATGGCGATGTTTCGAAGGAGACTCTGGGGTGTTTTAAGCCGATTGCGTTCTCCTGTTTAATGTGATTAGGCCCCTAATTGGTTCAATCAAAGTGTCTTCAGAGTTAATTAAATGCTCTCTTCTCCGAGCGAGCCTCTCGAAACAAATCCCAATAATCGTTGAAATAATTACCTATCCCAGCGAAAACGCACAAACACACATGAGAATGAGTAGGGGAATGAGAATGAGATGGTGGGATTGACTGACTGACAAAAGTTTGGCTGGCGGGAAAAAAACAAAAAGGCGTTGATTATTTAAGTACTTAAACGTGTTTTCCTTAATGAGCTACGAAATAATTCATAAAATACCAAAAAGGCTGAGCGCGGGGCTCCTTTTAATTTTATCCTCTGACCCCACAGGCACTTTCACTCGAGAATATAATCCTGTGCGCAAAAGTGTACGAGTATTTACTTAATCCGTCTCCTCCTCCGGCGGGGAATTCCCCTTGCCGTCTGCGAATCACACAATGAAAAATGCTTTTATTTACTTTTGATTATCTGCTTATGGACAGCACAACAACAATGGCTGGGAACGGGAAAAAGCGTTGGAAAAACGCTTGGAAAAACAGCAGACAGACAGACAGGCTAACAAAAAAAGGCTCCCCAAAAAAAGCATTTAGATTAGCAAAATGCAGTTGCCATGAATTCTGTGGTAGTGAATTGTGCTAACAATAAAAGTTACTGCGGAGGAAAACTTTCATGAGGATCTTCTGGTTTTCAGACTAATAAATATAAATTCTACCAAAATTAAGGCACTAGCCATTTATGGATTTTCCTACTTCACAAAAGTTTGTGTTTATGGCACAATTATAACTTTTTATTACCTTTTAGTTGGCTTTAGTTAGTGCTTTAAATAATCTTTGAGTTATACGTTTATTTAATATTTCAAAAATATAAAACTATATATTTTTAATGCAGCTAAATAAATACCAAAAACATTTTCCTTAAAGCTCAAATGCTACAAGAAAATTAAGAAGGAGGCGACAAAATGCCACCGGGAAGGCGACAACAAACAAACGAACAGTCTAACAAACAAACAGACAAACAACGGGTAACAAACGGCTTATGGCCAGGTTTAAATATGGACCATATGGACGGTGATGCTGGCCAACAAACGAGGGTGGTTTCCACAATTCAGCTCTTCGAACTTTGCACACCAACCGCTTTATGGGTTTTGGCCCTTCTCTTTTTTTTGCGACTGTCAACGCTGCCTGTCGCGGTTGTAAAATCAGCGAAATGTTAGCACTCAGCCAAAAATAAACGAAAAAGTATCTAGATGGAAAGCGCAGGGGTCGAGAGAGAAGATACTGAGTATTTGTATGAGAACTTTGTACAAAAAGGTCGCAAAGGGGTTACAAAAAAATATTTAATATATTTAAATTGAACATATTTTTTTATTGAAATGGAAACATTTTTTGGAAGTTTATTTTCCTATCTATGGGCATTTATTAATATTTAATAGTCCTTTAAATGTTTTTCTATTATGGTTTTTTATTTCTAAAAAATTTAACCTATTTTCTTTTTAAAAAAAATGAATTTATTTTTTTTTTTTAATATTTTATAGTTTTTTTTTTTTAACAAGAGTTTTAAGGAAGTTTTTTTAACTATTTATGGGCATGATTATTATTTATATTTTACAGTCCTTTGGAGACACAAATATATATTTTTTCTGAAATCTTTAACCAAACTGAAAACCCTTTGCATTTCGACCATCCAGGGTACTAAAAACAAAGCCGCACCTGCAACGCACACACCTGCAGAAGCCACACACCCGCACACCTGCCATAAGCCACGTGGCACACACACACACACTCCTATCGGGCTATAATTTATGGCTAAACGGATGCAGCAAAGTAGCAAAAGCAAAGGGTGCAAAGTGTTACCTTTGGCCGCCGGCTATTTAAAGTGTAAACGCATGGCTTCGAGTGGCTTCGATCTCATCGGGATGATGAAGTGTTTGAGTCCGACTGACGATGGTGCAACAAGTCATGGAAATGGGATACACTCATCCTTATTGCAATAAAAACAGACACATTCGAATTATTGTATTACTATCATGTGCTCGTGCGAATTTAATTGCTTTTCAATGGATGAGGAATCGTTGGCTAAGCATATTGACAGTCCAAAATGTATAGCATACATTTTGGGGCGACCCACACTGCGTATGAGTAATGCTGTAATGCCCTCGCTTGCCATGCGGATTACTCATACGCAGTGTGGGCACTCAGTATTTGTTTGTTTGCGGCATACACACACGCACACGCACACAAAATTACATTTTGCAGTTACAAGTGATATAAATAAATTTTACGTTTCGAAATGTTTGTCAGTGCGGTCAGTCCGCCTTTTTTGCCATTTCCCCGAAAATGTTTGTGTGACTTTTGTGTAGCTGTTAAGTGGCAAAGCACACTCGCACGCACACCCACAAACATTTAACTACATTTAAATTGCAATTTTCGCAAAGCAAAGCAAACATTTTGGACGACATATCATTGCATTTATCTGAGCTATATGTTCGTGTGCCAATTGTAATGTATATGCCTCCATTCACAATTGACAACTTGATGTTGCCATCGCACATACATATATATATAATATATAATATGTGAAATTCTCTAAATTGCTACTGTGTTATCACACAGACGATTTAGCAATTGTTCGCTTTGCCAATTTTCGACATGGAATTTATTTCGAAAATCTCCGATTTAAATCCAGAGACAGTTTCAAGTGAAATTCATTGGTTATTAAGTTATGATTAACCTGAAACAGTTCTGGAATTTGTCCCAGCCCAAAAATGATTTAATATTGAAGTATGTAGCACGAGAGGGGGAGGATTTCATTTCGTTTGCATACGGTAATGGGGTTATTCTACGACCGTAATTATTATTTATTATTCGGCAAAGCAATAAGCAAATACACAAATCGTTCGAGGGAACCTGACAATTCGTAATTATTTTGATATCGAATTTGAAGTCTCTTAAAATGTTGGAATTCATTTAATTTAACGTAAATTGAATTACGTTATATTTCAGAATTTTAACTGCAGGACTTAAATGTCGATTAATGGGTTTTTTAAGTTAAAAATTAAATATAAATGAATATATATTTTTAAGGCTCAACTAAAAAATATATCTATAGGTTTAAAAATTCCTTGAAATTCCAATAGATGTCAAATGTTTCGTATATTTAATAAATTTAATTGTAAGAATAAAAATATAAACTTATATATTTTTAAAGGCATTATGAAAATAATATATAAAAGTTCAAAAATTCATTGAAATCCCCAAAGTTTTTTTCTTTATTATTTTTACTTTTTTAATAATTTATTTATTCTTAAATTTTGGTGATTTCTTCTTTATTACTTTGATATTTTAAATCATTTATTAACTTTCAAATGTAGGTGATTATAATAAATAATGTATGCCATGCCCAGGGCTGCCCCAAACACTCAAAAATAATAACTATATTTTTGCAGCTACTTAAAAATACAAAGTGCTTGATTCAATTACCCATTCTTCGCTGTCATTCTAGCTGATTTCCCCACACACTTATCGAGAAGTTTTCGAAGCCAAGCAAGCCAAAACCAATGCAATCCAATCAAATTAAATATACTTGCGGCTAAAGGCTTGAAATTGGCACAGCCCAATTGTTTTGTGACCACTTAGAGGCAGTCAAATTCTCTGCGGAGCAGAAGAGTGGCAGGCTAATTTCCATTTTGTGAGTGCGACAGGAGGCGAAAGTGATTGAGTCGTGGTCAAGCTATCTATCTGAAAAACCACCCAAACCCCATTCACTCACCATTCACATAGGCGGCAAAGTCAAAGTCCTTGTCTCTTCGCGCTCCGCCATCATCTTCGATGTCCGGCTGTTGATGGCGCTGCTTTGGCTGCTGCTGCAGTTGCTTTCCCGCTTTCGGTGCGGAAATGGCGTCATTTCCGGCTGCCAGGGTTACCGTCAGACCCAAAAGCAGGGCCGCCACCAGCGACATTGTCTTGGAGCGGCATTTGCGGTATCGGCGGCTCGGGGCCGCCATGCCGCCCACTAATTGCACGCACACGGAAGCGGAAATAACACGCCGTTCGCCCGGGGGGAGTAGTTACTGTACTTGTACCGGGATTGGGCTCAGAGTCTCCGCCCTCCCAAAAAAATAAAGCCACTGCCAAAAAAAAAGTGGGAACCACACACAATCAATCGAACCGGCGAAGCTTCAGTTACGCGTAATTCGCAAGCCGGGAGTTTCGGTCTTCGGAACTGCCACGCGAATTCTTCAGGAGCCCGAAGCTAGAAGGACCTGCTGCCTGGCCAACGTGCGAGGCGCAATTGAGCCAGCAAGCGCGCTGCCACACACTCATATAGCCGTTGTCAGTCGACAGTTGCCAACTTGCAACATGCCGCACACGCCAAACGACGGAGCCGAACTTCTGTTTTGGTGAATGGACTCGGAATCGGCGAATCCGAGGACGAGGCCGAGTCCGAGTCCTCCGACGCCTGCGCCCTGTTCTCGAAAATCTCGAAAAACAAAATCTGAAGGGAAGTAAGGGGAAGGCCAGAAGTCAGTTGCAGTTCATTTGCTTGGCTACGTGACGCGAGTTTTTTCGGCTTTTATTTTCCCAGGGAAGAGGATGGGATGGGATAGGATATGTAGTAGTATAAGGCATAATGGTTAATGGGCATTCGCATTCGCATTCACATTGTCGTTGTCATTGGCAAATCGAAATTGCACTGCTGGTGTGTTTTCCAAAATCGCCTTTATTGTTTATTGTTTGTCCCCTTGTTTAACTGTTGCTCTTCGATTTTATTGCCCCCGAGAAGTTCAGGAAGATCAATTGGCGCTGCTGTTGTTCCGTAAAACTCTGGCGATTTTCTATAGATTGCCGGCTGCCTTGTTGTAGCTCAAATTGTAGTTGAGCGAAAAGTTGTTGATGGACTGGTTGGCTAACTATTGGCGATTAGTTGAGTTGAGTGGTAAAGTTGGCGCACATGGATGAACTTTATGCAGCTTAATGTTAATGTAATAAAATACATTTACCAGTTTAATAGAAAATAATTTGAAGCCACGAGTCACAAAATATATAGATTTATTAAATTTAAAAACAAAATGTAAACCAAATATTTGCCTAAAATAAATAAGTATTTAAATTAAAAAAATATTATAGACAGTATAGTGATATTTAATTTAAAACTTTTATAGACTTCAAAAAATCTTAAATTAAAATGCCAGTTGAAAATCTTTACTTAATTAATTAACTAATATTTAAATTGATACGAAATTATATGCAATTCATAGTGGGAAGTATTTAAATGGAATCTGAAATATTTTGATTTACCCAGCAACAGCATATGCGATGTTTTTTGAAGTACTTTGAATTAGTTATTGATTTAATATTATTAATAATTTAATTCTCTCATAATTTCCATTTAACCCGCAACTATTTTAAGAGCATTTTGAACAGCGACTTGCCAAAAATGTAGCCTCGTTGTTTGTCAGTTACTGCAGCTGCTGCTGCACTTGTCGCCGCTGGCTGGTTTTTGTTGCTAGTCGCTAGTTGCCAGTTGCAGCAGCAACTGTTGCAGCTGCGACCGGCAACCTGCGACCTGCGACCTGCGGCCCCGCGGATCAAGAACAGTTAGCTATTATTGTTACTGCCGCTGCATGTTGCTGCCGTCTGGCGATTACGGACTCTGATGTTGCTGCTGGGCTTAACTGTTGCTGTCGGTTCCTGTGCGTCGATTTGCATCGCAATTGCAATTGCAATTGCAATTTTGCAATTTGCCATTCGCATTCGCCATTTGCCTTTTGCCGCACCCCCATACCAATCGCAATCGCAACCCCTCGCCCGCATTTTCTTTCGCTCTTAATTAAAACATTTTGCAGTTGATTTGCGCGGCTGTGTGGTAATTTGATTAGCGCTCGGCCCCTTCGGGAGTTGCAACAGCCACGGCAAACTGTATCTGTATCTGCATTTGTATCTGCAGCTGGAGCTGCGTTAACGACTCATCGACGACCCGCAAATATCCACGAAATATCCGTGCATAGCTCGAAAAAAACTGCACATTTTCCTGCAACGCTGGTCTGCATTACTACAGAATGCAGGCGTAGAGCCTCCCCGCCAATGGGATATTGATAACCAACAGCAATTTGCAGCTGCAGATAATCAAATCACTCGGTGAAAAACGGAATCATTAAATATTTGTGAAGACATCGGGACTGCTTCGTACGAAAAAAAAAAAAATAATTCGACAGTCAGAATGCAAAGCTGGTCAACATGGTCTTTAAGCATGTCTATGCGAGACGCAATATAAATATACATTTAATAGACTGTTTAGTCCAAACCAGCAAGAATTTTTGGTTTGGTAAAAAGTTACCCTCAACAAAAATCTAAGAAAAATCCAATTCATTTTAAAAACTGTGAAAATATTGTTCCGAATATGGATTATCATACCTTTCTGAACTCGTTATTAAATTTCCATGCCATTTTTCGTAAAAAATCATGATGTAACCCCTTATAAAAAAATTGAAAATTGGCCAAAATTTTATTTTTCCTAGATCACCCGGAAAGTGTTATGGATTTATTTGTTGTTTTTTTATCTGTTGAAAACAGTATGTGTTTTTGGTGTAGGTCAATTTTTGGCCGAGTTACAGCAAAAAAACCAAAAGAAAAAAAATCCAATTTTGTACCAAAAAATTAGATCCCAATTTTTCACAAAAAAATAAATGGTTTATTGACCTTAACAATGGAAATAATGATCCAAATATGGATTGTCATACCTTTCTGAACTCGTTATTAAATTTCCAATCGATTGGCATTTAAACCTGGACAATTTATTTTTTTGCCATTTTTTGTAAAAAATCATGAGGTACCCCCTTACAAAAAAAATTGAAAATTGGCGAAAATTTTATTTTTGCAGGATCACCCGGAAAGTGTTATGGATTTTTTTATTATTTAGTTATCTGTTTAAAACAGTATTCATTTTTGGTGTAGGACCATTTTTGGCCAAGTTATAGCAAAAAAACAAACAGAAAAAAATTCAAATTTTTACCAATAACCCAGATTCAAATTTTTCACAAAAAAATAATTCGTTTTTTGACCGTAACAAAGGAAATATTGATCCAAATATGGATTGTCATACCTTTCCAAACTCGTTATTAAATTTCCTATCGATTGGCATTTAAGCCTGGACATTTTATTTTTTGGCCAGTTTTCGTAAAAAATCATGAGGTACCCCCTTATAAAAAAATTGAAAATTGGCGAAAATTTTATTTTTCCTAGATCACCCGGAAAGTGTCACGGTTTTATTTCTTATTTTGTTATCTGTTCAAAACAGTATGTATTTTTGGCGTAGGACCATTTTTGGACAAGTTACAGCAAAAAAACGAAAAGAAAAAATTCAAATTTTTGCCAAACAAGAAAGGAAGCTAGCTTCGGCAAGCCGAAGCTTATATACCCTTGCAGATCATTCTATTAATTTACAAATCGCAAAAATGTTAAATTTCTTATTATTTCACATTAATTTTTCGATCGTTTCTATCACAGCTATATGATATAGTACTTCGATCTTTTAAAAATTAAAATCGAAATTCGGAAATATTTCAAAATAGTCATATCCCAGAGTAGAAGGGAATGTAATAAAAACCAACAAAGATATAATTTTTTTCCCATTAATTTCCATTTAATTTTTCGACCGTTCCTATGGCAGCTATATGATATAGTGATCCGATTTAAAAAACAAAAAAACCGAAATTCAGAAATATATAAAAAAAAATATTCCCAAGAGTAGAAGGTAAAATTTCAAAAAACACCGGAGCTAGAATTTTTTTACGTTTTTTTTTTTTTATCCTTCCTATGGGAGCTATAAGATATAGTTGTCCGATCCGGTTGGTTCCGACATATATACTACCTGCAATAGAAATACGACTTTTACGAAAGTTTCATCCCGATAGCTTTAAAACTGAGAGACTAGTTTGCGTAGAAACGGACGGACAGACGGACGGAAAGACGGACAGACGGACGGACAGACGGACAGACGGACGGACAGACGGACATGGCTAGATCGACTCGTCTTGTGATGCTGATCAAGAATATATACACTTTATGGGGTCGGAAATGTCTCCTTCACTGCGTTGCAAACTTCTGACTGAAATCATAATACCCTCTGCAAGGGTATAAAAATCAGAACCCAATTTTTCACAAAAAAATAGTTCGTTTTTTGGCCTTAACAATGGAAATATTGATCCAAATATGGATTGTCATACCTTTCTGAACTCGTTATTTAATTTACTATCGATTGGCATTTAAACCTGGACATTAAATTTTTTTGCCATTTTTCGTAAAAAATCATGAGGTACCCCCTTACAAAAAAATTGAAAATTGGCGACAATTTTATTTTTGCAGGATCACCCGGGAAGTGTTATGGATTTTTGTATTATTTAGTTATCTATTCAAAACAGTATGTGTTTTTGGTGTACGACCATTTTTGGCCAAGTTACATCAAAAAAACGAAAAAAAAAATTAATTGTTTACATTTGATTTTGCTGGCAGGCGCAAAAACATAAGTCCAGCCGGCAGCAAGCTAATCTAATTAAAATTGTCTAATTATTGGGTCTGACTGCCGTTAACAGCTCATATCATAGTTTTCCCATTACATATAATAATTATTATTATTATTGTTGTTCTGATTATCATGGTTATTACGACAGCGAGTGCCAAAGCGGCGTATACTTGATGTGATTGAAGCGCAGTGCCCACATCATTCTGCACTTGGCCATAATGCTCTTATGGCCATAATTGTTGTTGCGGCACTCTGACCCGACTAATTGTCGAGCTCTGCTTTTTGTTCTCGGGGCCCCGCAGTTCTGGCCAGCCAGTCAATCCATCCATCCATCCATCCATCCATCCAGCTGGCTTCCCAGTTGAAGGTTGTGCATTCCGCATCCCACGGGGCGCTAATTGAATTCGCTGCCACCGCTGGCCAATTGCAGCCAAAAAATTGAACAAAGCCCCGCAAAGCACTGGAATAGGCAGAAACCTCGAAAACAAAAAGCGCAACTGAAAGCCAAAAACAAATGGAGATGAATTGCATTCGGGAATACCCTCTTTGGTATAGGGTTACCCACTGAGTGGGTTATAAAATTGCAACAAAATAGTAAAAATCCGGAGAATCCATGGATTTATATCACTGCATACTTTTATTACTATTCCAATCAATTTAAATTGAAATATTGGTTTTATCAATATCTGTGATTTAATGTTTAAATATGTTTTTATTTTTATTTTTAATTTAACTATTCTTTTATAAAATATTGCAATAATAATAATAATATAGCTTAATTCAATTTAAATCTACTTCCATTATTTTTTTAGATTTTTTTTTCAATATTGAAAATATTTTAAAACCCAATATACCCCGTTTTGCAGGGTGTCAATAACGAGCAGCATCAACAACAATCCGCTCTTGGTGGCAGGATGTGCGAGCCGGAGTGATGATGAGGCAATTTGTTTAGGCCAGTTATGCATCATTTGGGCGGAGGGGCATGAAAATGGTGATGGCCTGTGGGCGCTGGATTTTAGTGGGAGGGGATTGAAAACCAAGGACGATGGACGACGAACGACGGACGATGGGCTTAGGTAGGCAATTCGATTTGACGGCGCACAATTTCCGGCCGCGCTCGGCTCTGTTACTCATTACAAGCGAATAAGCCCCGAGTCCTTGTGGTCAGAAGCAGCAACAGCAGCAGCAGCGTGCCGCCCACTCAGCTTTATTCACACACGGAAAACTTTCACAATTAGCGGCCGGATTCAGGCTGCGATCCTGGAGGATATATTTCCGGACCTCGGACTACCGTCAGCAGCATTCAGTGGGATAATGTGCGCCCAGGAAGATATCGCAGGCGGAGCAGTAATGATTCGTCGTCCGGCAGCAGTTCCAAAAATAAGGACACAAACAGGCGCAGCAGCACCAACTGAAAATAAATCGTTTAAGGTTTAAATGCAAATATTTTATTTAAATAATTACTTTATAAGTATTTATTTGGCTAATTTTCATAAATCGGTTTTTTTTGGAGAGTAAACTGCAGGAGTAATATTTCTTTAACAAGCCTAATTAATTCACTTACCCCAAAATGCACAGCCAGAGGGCAAAAATGTTGGTGCGCTTATTTGGTGAGCTCTTCAAGCGAGTGAATCCCCGTTGGCCACAAGCTAGACAAACGATGTCCATCGCCTGGCTGCCCAATTTGGGTTGAGGGGCCACAATGAAGAAATCTTCAAGTTAGAAATATAACAAAATAATTTAATAATAATTTAATAATTTAAAATCATTACCTACTTCGCTCTGGCGGCGCTGTCAATTCCTCCGATGAACCCTCCTCCACTTGGGAGTACACCTCTTCCTCCTCCTCCAGGCGATTCATGGCATCATCATAGGTGGGCGGTTCCGAGGGGGACAGGGACAAAGGTCGCTGCTTCGGCTGATCCTGGTGATTCAGCTGATCCTGCTGGCTGGGATCCTGACCCTGGTACAACATACGGTGCTTCTCCTCGGCCATGGCAAACCCTTCTAACTGCCCCATTCATTGGCCCTTCGTTGGCTTTTATGCTCTAGTTTTTGGAGAACCGGAAAACAGGCCTTCAAAAAAAAACAGCTGTGTTGATAAGCGAACATTGCGGGCCAATTATGTCATCTGGTCACCAAATGAGGAAAGCTGGTCGGTTGGCAATGGTCGGGGTGAATCACCATCTCCATCTCCTCCCAGTCGTTGGAGAATATTGTCAGCTTCCGTTTCATTTCCTGTTCATAACTTTTTCAATATGTGCTGCTGACCGTTTGCACTAGCAAAAAAAATAAACCTTGAAAAAAAATATTTAGTAAAATAAATTTAAATATATTCTTTATATTTTATAACAATTTTTAGACTTTTTGCCTAAATAATAAATATTTAAGTGTGCACTTTTTTCACCCATTAGAAAAGCAAACATAATTTTTCACACACCAACTTATGGGTTAACCCTTAAATCTCCTAGTGTTACTACTCTTACTCCTCTCCTAGACTTTTCTCCATCGTGTTTGTGTTTGCGGATCCCCCAGTTTGTTTTTTGTTTTCCCTTCAAGTTTTTCAATATTTTCCAACGACGACGGGGAGCAGGAGGAAGAGCAGTGGTGGGGGGGAAAATGGGAATGAAATTCCGTTTGCCACTTTGCATTTAATCAACTTTATCGCATGCATGTAAATCGTATGCAGGCGCAAATAAACTAAACAGGTAGAGGTGAAATTATAATGAAAAATCTCATTTGCATATGGATAACTGACATCCCTCGATTAGGTTAGCCCTTTAAAAATTTGTTTGAATTTAAAACTAAAGTTAAGTCACACAAAAGTAAACATTTAATATTACCAATGCTTCAAAATATTTTTTATGTAAATATCACAGTAAGATAGTTGTCGCTTTTTCATGAATTTGTTAATTATTTCACTGCATACTTTGAGATTATAATAAACCATAAATTATAAAACCATACAAATTTCTTTATTATTTTCCCAATCAATTTTAATTAACTAAACTATTACTTCAAAATATTTAAATATTTTTATATAGTTAATTAAATTTTACATTAAGTTAGTTTTAGCTTTTTTTTTACTCTTTTTGATACTATTTTTCCACCGAATGCTTATGCTAAAATAATATTTATTTTAAAACTGCGCTAATTCTTTGATATATTTACTTTCCCCATTTGTGTAACAACGGTTTTTTTGAGCTCTTCAATTCAATTTTGATTATAAATTCCAGGGTGTGTCGCCGGCCTTTGATTTGTTTACTCCTGTTGTTCCGCCATCTGCCATTGAAATGGGGATCGGGCATTTGAGAGCTGTCGCTGCATAAATTTGCAGTCCATTTCAAGTTGGCTCATCGCTTTGATGTTTGATTTATTGCACACAGGCGGGGGTTGCGGGGGTTTTGGGCTAAAAAGGGGTTAAGGGGGGTGGAGTGCCAATGGAGTGGGCTTATCGGCCGACATGCCAGACAATTGTGAATGGCAACTGCAATTGGAAGTGACAGGGGCGGCGGGCGGTGGACTGAAGAGGGGTCCTGGGTATCAGGTGCTGACTTGGATAAGCAAATAAATGGATGAGACTGGCAAACAATCCTCGGATGGGTTCGCATTCCATTATGGATTCTGCCCTCGATGTTGTCCTTTTTGCCTTTTTAAGTATTTATGCATTCTGAAGGTCAGTTAAGGGTGGAAAAAATGGGTTAAGGTTATCAGTGGCTCTCTTTAAATCTAGATAAATCCATCGGGAGTATTTAATATTTATTTTATATTAATTACAAAATGTTCTACGAATATAAAGTTAAATATTCAATATTTTTTGAATTTATCATTTATTATATTATAGATTTTTATATTATAACAAATAATAGTGACGCAATAGCCTGCAGTCATTCAACTGATTAAACTGTTGGCTTTTTCTTACAGATCCCGAGGCCCCCAAAAAATAAAGCCATCTCGCTCCCACACTCGCGCGCCGTCTCTTTCGCACTGATTGCGACTTTGGCTGGAAATGTGTGCAAATAATATTTCGTGTAATTGCAATTAGCGCCAAAAAGGTTTTCACCGCTCACAGCTGCTGAATGGAGCAGTCGTGTCGTCTCCTTACCGCCCCCCCCCACCCCCTCCCTTTTTCACCTCTCTGTCACCACCTCCAACCACGCCCCCTTATCATCCGCCTCTTTCACTTTTTATATATATATCTCTATTTGTTGTTTGCCTTTGCGAGGAAATGCGTTCGTGCGAATTGCGATTTCTTCGATGCTTCAATTACACAAATATACGTATGTACATTTGCACTGGAAGAAATTTTTACTTTTAACTGAAAAGTAAGTTAAAAAATTTGGTATATCATATGTTTCAGGTTTTAATCTTATTTATAATGTGAGTTATTCTTATTTTATGTTTTAGTTTATTAAAGAAAATTAAGAAAAATTAGTAAAAAATATCTATTTAAAAAGTAAAGTAATATAAATAGATAAAAGTCATTTTTCATTTCATTTTTTGTAATTTTTTCAATTGTTTCCCTTAGTGTACACATACAACACCGTGTACCTAGGCGCCCGGAAATCAATGTTTAAAAGGGAAGCTGAAACTGCTGCTGACGCCTTTTGCCCATTTTTTCCCCTCCTGCTGGCTTGTTAATTTGCCAAAAAAAAGAGTGAGGGAAAAGAAGAAGAGAGATATTGAAGGTGCCAGATCCACAAAACTCTATCCTCAGCCGACGACCATTTATTCGCCCCCCAAAAAGAAAGCAGGCACTAAGGCGACTAAATAAAGGCAAGAAAAACAAAGAGGGAAAACAAAGGAAAGGAAAAAGTCGAGTAAATGTTCCTTGGGTTCTCTTCGGTTGCTCGTGTAAAATAGTTAAAGTTATGGGCCAAAATGGAGCCAAAGAGCAAAATCAACTCGCACACTCAGGCCCTTCAAGTGCAACAGTGTGTGTGTGTAAGAGGGGGTGGGGGAGGTGGGTTTTGGAGCGCGAGTAATTCACATTTCGAGCACGTTTCGCTTTTATGCTCTTAAATGGCGAGTGTATCTGTATCTGTGCAGGACCCCACATATGTGTGTGTGTGTGTGTGTTTGTGCGTTGTCTGTGGCAAAACGATAATTTTGTTGATGATGCCATGATTATAAGTTTTAGCCTCATCGCAAGAGCTCTCAACTTGGCCGGGGGCAACAATGGCAACGGCTAGAAAACACCGAAGAAAACCAAGATTCCGGATTGGTGAGTGCCGACAAAATACCCGTTGTTTATCTATAAATATTGGCAAATGCCTGATGAAAACGTTAAATTATTTTATAAAGAAATAAAAGGAGCCCATAACCTTTAAAAAAGTATGGTTAACTTTGGTAATAAACAGCAATAATATTTTGTATGTTTTGTATGATTGTTATAAATAAGGTGACCCCGATCTGAACTTCTAAGGCCCATCAGCTAACCAATCGAAGTCCGATTTTTCCGCAACGCACCTCTTAAAATGTGTGATTTAATTTACTAGAAATCAACATTTTGAAATTTTTTGTAAATATTATAAATAAAGTGACCCCGATCTGAACTTCTAAGGCCCATAACTTGCCCAATCGTACACCGATTTCCTTAGGACGTACCTCTAAATTCATGTGGTTCGGAGAACTACTCGAGAGTTTGACTACCGGACTACCGCTACCTACAGGGTATCACCTTACAGACCCAGCGACCGTCACCGGGCGCAATCAGGGGTTCAAGTGGCGTGTCTGGCTGCCGCGTATCTGTGCCACATGTATCCGTATCCGTATCTGTATCTATTCCTAAGTAAATTACACACACACTCGCACACACAAAAGGGCTACGGATGCGGTCCACATCCCGTGCGCGTGAATGACCCACATAAATAGCCGCGTGCCTCGACTCCAGCCGGCTCTTTATTGGCACGTACCAAACAAAGAAACGAAAAATAATAATAAAAAGAACCCCGAAAAAATCAAAAAAATATAGAAAGTGGGAAGAAAACCATTCAACAGTTTCACAGACACATTTTTCATTATGGAACGTCGAATTGAATTTCGACTTGGCCGCCGCAGGACGAAACGTAAGTGGGTCCGGAATTTGGCCCAAATCGATTGACATGGCCAAAGGCCTTGTGATCTGCTCAATATTTCATGGGACGCCCTCAAAATGAAGTGACATCTGGACAGGACGGAGTGGAGATGTGCATCATTAGCAGGGCCATACGTATACGTAATACGTATACGTAATTTCTTGACCCCCGCACCCCGAAAATATTTGTCTAATAAATTGTGTATTTATTGCTGTTGCTCGTAAGTAGCCATAAATTTAGCAAACATGACATGGCCAAGTTTCCCTCGTCCTGCTATTGATTTATTATTATTTTTTGGTTGTATCCACTGCCTCTGGAATGCCGAATCTTCCATTTTATGGGCTACGGCTACGCAAAAACCGAACTGTTGCATGTTGCCGGCGGGGGTATGTTGCATGTTGCTGCTGCCGTCGACAGGCACATTAACTGTTTGCTCGCCAGATTTGGCCAGACAATGTGAAAATGTTTACACTGCACTTGCCCGTCAGCTGGTTCGGTTCAGTTTTGTTATTACTGCTGCCTCTTTACTCGGCATGTTCAACCCCCTTTGACCTCAGACCTCCGCCTCTGCCATCGCCATGAATATTGCCTTTTTGTCCCGCTCAAAGTTAAATGTCCGCACAATCAAGACATCAGCATCAGCAAACGACTCGATGCCGCCACTAAACTCACAATGCAAAAAGCGGAGCCAGTAAGTTGACAAAAAAATAAATATATGGCAAGGAAGCAGGGAAAAATTAACTTCCCTTCGGTATTTTTTTTTGGTGTAGCTTTAGCCTGCCTACTTTTGAGCTGAGTATATTAGATAAATGCGATTTTGTTAATATAAATTAAGATATTAGACTTAGCATTTTTATTTGAACATTTATAATTATTATTCTGATTTATATGTAAGACAATCCATATTTGGATCAATATTTCCATTGTTACGGCCAAAAACCTAATTATTTTTTTGTGAAAAATTGGGTTCTGATTTTTTGGCAAAAATTTGAATTTTTTTCTTTTTGTTTTTTTGCTGTAACTTGGCCAAAAATGGTCGTACACCAAAAATACATACTGTTTTGAACATATATCAAAATAAGAAATAATTCTATGACACTTTCAGGGTGATCTTGAAAGAATAAAATTTTCGCCAATTTTCAATTTTTTTAAGGGGGTACATCATGATTTTTTACGAAAAATGGCAAAAATATAAAATGTCTAGATTTTAATGCCAATCGATTGGAAATTTAATAACGAGTTCAGAAAGGTATGACAATCCATATTTGGATCAATATTTCTATTGTTACGGCCAAAAAATGAATTATTTTTTTGTGGCAAATTGAAATCTGTATTTTACATAAAACAAAAATATTCTCCAAAATTTTAGCATTTTTTATTACCAAGCCCCCAAACGGCCGCTGTGGCTGCCGTATGCAAAGTTTGACAAGCTTTCCCTTTAGTTTTCCCCATCAAATTTCCCTTCAGATGCTGCCTGCAAGTGTGCGTGTGTGTTTACTTGGCGGAGTCGAGAATCGAGACTTTGCCGAAACGCTAATGTTGCTTTTGTTGATTCTGCTCTCCAATCCAACGTCGGCGTAATGCCCTCGGTATTTATTATTATTTTTGCTGGCACTTACGGCATTAGGTTGCCAAATTATTTGGAAACACTGCAGAGAGGCCGCCCTTTCCCGAGAAAATTCAATCCAGAATTGGTGGATTTGTTTTGCTACTATATTTACTGCTGCCTTCGATATACAATATTTGAAATATTTGCTTAAAACGTAATGCTTAAAAATGGATGGAATGATGTAACATAGTTGTGGATCTGGGCGATAATAAGGCTTAAATAGTTTAGGTTTTATAATAAAACAAAAAAGAAGGCGATGAGAGAAAACCACGAACATGTTTACGAGTAAAGTGATGAAATCTATACGATTAGGCATTAAGCATTATAATTTTCTTGTTTAAAATCTAAATGTATATGTTACTTTAGTTTATGTGTAGATCAGTCTGTGTGCAAGCACTGCTAAACGAAAATCTCTAAAAAAAATCTTTAATATAAATAATGGTTATATATCCAAAAAAAATAAAAATTATAATAAATCGAGTGTGTGTTGAGAGTTGGGTTGATCTTCAGTTTCGAGTTTCAGGCCAGGCAGAAGAGCTTCCTCCAGAAGGAGGGCGTGGGCGGCAGGGTGGTGGGCACGAGGCCCTCCCAAATGGCTGTGTCGAACACATCCTTGACTTTGTCCTGCGAACGAAATAATACGGTTATTAATCACTGCTTAATTAAATCAATAGTGCCCCCATAAAAAGCTTCTCTCCATTGTTTCTGTTTTTTTGCTGCACTAATTACTAACCATTGTCTGGCTGATATACATGGCAAATTAAATATTTTACCCATAACTAACTAGATGCTTGTATGATGTAATTAAATAGTTGTTTAATACTTAAATTATCCTCTTTTTTTGACTTACTGAATTTCTAATTATAATTATTGTTTTATTACAGTATTATTTTGGCTTTTGTTTACTTGGTAAATTAGTAATGATTTGTTATGGAAAATACATAGAAGTGACCATCAATTTATTAATTAGTTTTAATAAATGATTTCATTGATCGAAAGTCCAAATTCGTTTTTTTTTACAGTAAATATCAATACAAAATCATTAAAATTTATTTAATTATTTACTTAACAATATCCTTGATACAATTTCGAGTTTTTTCATATAGTTTAATGAGCTTCCAATTCAAAGTCGGCATATTTCCTTCACCTTTTTCTTAACACTTTGAACAGCTTTTTCCCACCGGCGGCAATACAACTTAATCGCGGTGTTATATATGGTGTCTTATTTTCCAGCAACTAGCGAAGCACTTGCTCAACAAATTGTCACCATCATCGTCGTCGTCGACATCAGCAACATCATCATTATAATCATTATTATCATCCTCATCTGGCTGGTGGTGCCAAGTGCTTTATAATTTGTTGCAATCGCTTCATCTTCGTTGTCGCCTTCTTTTGTGGAAGGAAGTAGGGGGCGGCGGGGGGCGTGGCTGTTACCTTCGGGGAAATCCGCGTAGAGTGCAATGCACGGCTGACAGGAGCGACGGCATTCAGTCGGAAGTGTTGGGGCAAACAAGAGGGGACTTTCCCGGCCATTCCATCTCTTAACCGCACAATTATGATTATTGTGTGTGTGTGTGTTGGTCGTGCAATGTGACAAGGCGACTCAAAAGGATAAAAAGCAACGAGGTCCTCGACAACGACGACGAACTGCTGCTGGCTCCCGCAGGAGGACACCTCCTTTTGACTGCGGAATTTAGCCAGCCTTATTTTTTATTTTTTCTGGGGGCTTCTTTCGCCAGATTATCCTGTGATAATCTTTGGGGTATGCCCCTTTGCTAAGTTTGCATTTAATTTATTTAGATTTATTTAGATTTATTTAAATATAATTTATGGCTTACACTAAAAATTAAAATTATTTTAAAAAAAAATTATCGAATGTAATTTCTATATTTTTATTTTATTTCATTGTTAATATAAGTTATTATTTTAAAAAGAACCTAAAGAACATTTAGAAAATTACAAAAAGGGAATACAAAAATGTTTAAGTTAAGAGGAAGTAGAGAATTTGTACCACAACTTTCCTAGAGGGTATCACATTTTCCCCCAGAGAGCGGAGGATTTTTTGTAAGTGTTTACACGAGACAGCCGCAATGAAGTCAGGGACCCAGAGCAATGACTTGTCTGCCTTTTGGCTTTAATTAATATGAGTTACGCTTGCTACCTCATTTTATTTACCATTTTCCCGCCCCCTTGGCAGTTGACTAACTAAACTAAACTGCACAACTCACCTGTGTGGCTGACGAAGTCTCAATGTATTTTGCGCCAATTGTTGTTGCCAAATCCCAGGCGTCTGCATATGAAATTGCTTTCTCGCCATTTGTCTGCAAAAAAAAAAGAGGGGAAGCGGAAAAGGGAAAAATCAAGTTAGTACCGGCGGCCAAAATAAATCAGAAATAAGAATTTCATAAATATTTGAATCGGAGGCGAGATAAATAATGATAAGGCCGCACCCGCAGGCAGCAAAATCATTAATAAATCAGCCCAGAAATCAGAAATCAGAGAACCCAACTCACCTGCAGTTTGTTGAGGACATTCGGGCTGGTGCGAAGATCGGCCTGGGTGCCAACCAAAATCAGGGCGGCCTTGGTCTTGGCAAACTTGGGCGCCCATTTGGCCTTGATGGCCCGAAACGTTTCCGGCTTCACCACCGAGAAGCAGAGCAGGAAGACGTCGCTGTCCGGATAGCAGAGCTCCCTCAGCGGATCCAGGGTGTCCTGGCCGGCGGTATCACAAATGGTCAGGTGCACCGGACTCTCGTTCACATTCACATCGGCTGTGGCGGAAGAAAAATATTGGGTTTTTAATATTAAAATTAATAATAGATAAAAGGAATAAAAGGAATAAAAGCAATAAATTAAATATAAATATATATTAATATAAAATACATATGCATTGATTTGTGATATTTAAAAATAAGATAACATTCAAAGAAAACAGTAGCAAAAACCCATTCAACATTATTTGCTGAAATCATGATCTTAAGCTTTCCACTTCAATGACAAACCATTTTCCATAGTTTTCCCACCCTTTTATTTACAAATGAATCAATCAATTGATTTCTGTGCGTGTGCTTGTGTGCGTGTGGGCCCACTTTGGCCTGATTTCGGTTCAATTTAATTGCAAAATATGTAAATTACTCTCACACTGAGGGTGGCCCTTTCTCTTTCGCACTTTGTGATTGCATTTTCCTGTCGGAATTTAATTTAATTTAAAATTCTTTGCCAATCCTTTTGTTGTCTCCTCCACGCAAGTGCAAATTTTTGGCATAGCACATGGTACACTCGAGCACCCACTCACAAACACACACACCCGCAAACTAGTGGACACTCACACAGACACAGGTAGCTGACACAAAAAAAAAGAGAAAAGCCGGAAAATTGGAGATGCCTGAAATTTTGCAATTCATTCAACCCTCTATTTTTATTTCTCAACTGCAAGTAAGCTGTAATCTTGGTGATAAATGAAGCACTAACTAAATTAAAGCTTCAAGAAAAAAGATAGTTTTGTGTTAAAAATATTTCCCTGAAAAAATGTGGTACTTTTCCGAGTATTTCAAAATATATGTAAAATATTTTTAAAATGCCTCCCAAAACTATGCTGTGAAAAAATAATTAATGAGGGCTTTCTCATTGCCATGTAAATATCATAGAACCCATAAAATGCATTGTGGTTAACTAATTAGCAGCTTAGAATTTTCATAACAAAACCACAAACGCATAACAAAAATTCTAATAATTATTTCACAGCGAAAACAAAGTAAACCGATAATATTTAGTAATCTTTTAACAAGAATTTTAGCACTCAGATTTTGGGTTTCCGGCAGTTAATGAATATTTGTCTTTTTAGCGCACATTTGTTTGCGGAACGCACCGCTTGCTGCTCAGTGATAACATCTGTTTAATTATATCCAACACTGCATTGATGCCCACAACTCGAACACCGAGCTGGAAAAGCGTCAGGAAAATGAAAATGAAAATGGTGGCGTGGAGCATCAACAATGAAACGAAACGCTAGCAAGTGAATTAGTAAAGCGCTGCGCAGGGAAACTCCTCCTAACTCCTGCCCACTTTTACCCACTTTCCCACCCACTTTTCCAGCCACCTCCCATGTGTGCAAAGAACATTCATATTTAAACGCAAGCAAAAATGATTTGAATGATGCTCAGGAGAGTGACGAAGGGGATGGCACTGTTTATAGAGTTTACACTCGAAAATTAGCAAGAAATTTTCATTAAATTTATTAAAAAATCTAGCTAATTTTGATTTTAAACAAATATTAAATTTTATTTTATGTATACAACTCTTATACAAATTTCATATTATTATTTTTTTTTTAATAATTGTAAAGTTTTTTAAGCTAATTGCTAATTGTTTTCCGTGCCCTGAGGCTTTGGTTTGGTTTGGCTTGCTATTGCACGCCCCGCCAAGCAGATTTGACCTCGCGTTCGCCCGGAACCCCAAAACCCCAGAACCCCAGAACCTCATAGCCCCAGCCAACATCCCAAAGTCACCCATTCAACCCCCGGACTGTGTCCATGTCCTATCTAAAAGTTAATCATGGCAACCTTTCATTCAATGCAGCCTCCTCCGACTGTTTGGCCTGCGTAAATAAAGTTGCCCGGCTGCCCTGCTCGGGGATTTTTAATCAGCCTGCCGCATGCAGCACGTAGCACATGGCAGGTTGCAGGTTTCCAGGTGCAGCGAAGGTCGCCAGACCCACGGCTCATGTAAAATAAATTTAATTTGTGCAGCGTATGAAATTCATGAATACATTCGAGGGGCCGGCAAACCGAAAGCCGAAAGCCTGACGTTGATGTGACTTCATCATCTCGCTGGCCTAAAACCCCAGCCTCCTTTTTGGTTTAATGGAGCTTAACAAAAAACGTGCACCTCATTTTATTCGTTGAATTTTCTGGGTCCACAAGGGGTTTTCTCCTTTGAGGAGAAAATGCAAAGGTTTAAAATGCAAATTTAAATATTTAAAAAACTTAAAAATAATTAGCAAAAATATAAAGTCATATATATCTACAATTTTCAAACATATTGATTTTAAGCCAATTGTTTATAAATATCAGATAAAAAAGTGACTTATTTCCACAGCTTTATTTCCAGAACCCTTTTCTTGACTTAACTTTTTTCTTTATTTTTTTTTTAATCCCCATTTTCAGCTGCGAAAAATCGCAATCACTTTTCCCCATTTCATTGTGCAATTTCCTTGAACCCACTCATTGTTGCTTTATTAGTTGCCCCGTATTTCTTGGCCATTTTCTTGGGCTGCCAAAAAGTGTAAAAGTGGAAATCAATGCCAGAGAACACAGAGAATACACAGGCATTCAATGGCATTTCCTTTGCTTTTCGCTTTTCACAAAAGGGAAATTGTTTGCTAGCTCAGCTGAAAATCGCTTTACGCGATGGAGAACAAAAAGCAGTGAACTGAGCTCAAGTGAAGCAAAGAGAAATGAAGTGGGAGGTTGGCGGAGGAGAAAGGAAAGCCAGACAATGGCGAAGGTCGGGACAAAAGGCGAGCATCGTTAGCGGTTAAGGGAAAAGTCCCAAACATCAGAGAGTGTGTGTGTAAGCAAGTGAGCAATTGTGTATGTAATTGTGAGCCAAGAAGTCAGCTTCCTTCTTCCTCCTTCCTGCTGACTCCACCTTATTGACACCTAATTGAGTCGCAGTCTCCTTTTCCGATTGAGGGCTGATATGTCACGCAATTAAATATCAAGTCCCCTCCTTCGTAGAAATAAATTGCACAATTTGACGCACTTGGAGCCACTCAATTAGCCAACCTCCAGCCTTAATTAGTGCTCCCAAAACTTATGTCTAATGGCCAAACTATGCCAAAGTCTTGGCCTCCAGGTAAATATGCAAGAAAATAGAAATAAAAAAGAGAAGAAAAGATGACAGCAGAGGAAAGCAGGGGGAGGAACAGAGGAAAAGCTGGAAAAGGGAGTGCAAATTCCACGAAAAGTTGAGAGCCAACTATGCCCGGTATTCACAGAGCCGGCCAATTGTTGCTAAAAGCCTGGCTAAAAACACGGGGGACACGCGGCGTATGCGTAATTTCATTCTTAACAAACGACAACGGCACAAAAGCACAAAAGCAGCTGGTGTAGGCGAGTCCTGGCACCAAAAAAAAAAGAACAAGTGACATCCCTGGCATTTCAGGCCGAATGAAATGTTTCAAATACAAACTCCCCATCCCCCTAAAAGCACACAAAAAATAAAGCTGCAATCCCTGGCATTTCCAAAAAAGGGGATTCAATTAGCAGGACAGGCCAACAGCAAAGGACGAGACTAGGATATTTTTTCCCTTATCTGCCAAAATGTCGAAGAATTTAAATTGATTTATTATTTTCATTACAAAATTATAATCAAATATTTATATGTAAATAGTTTGAAGCTAAAAAAATTTACTTATATTCCATCTTCCCTTGTAACATTTTATATTACCATAATTTTATTAATTTTTAAATAAAATGTAATAAACAAAAATCCAAAATCCCATATAAAGGCATCAAATTGGCCCTCCACTCCACTGTTCTACTGCACACCTAGTTGAATCTGTTGAATTATTCCACGATTATCTGCAGGGCGAATTTGGCCAGGACTCTCACACTCCCTCACTTTTCAACCGACTGACTGACTGGCTGGCAACACACAATTTTTGGCCCCCGAAAAACGGGTGAGCGAGCGAGCATGCAGAGAAGTGCAAATTCATGCAAAATTTTATTAAAATCAGCCCCAGGGGCCTGGTGAGGGGTTAAACTGGCTGCTACTGCCGGCGGCAGGCAGTCTCGAGTGCCAGACTAAGGGTTAAGGGGGCTAAAGGCTAAGCATAATTCAATCAATTGCACATCGGCAAGAGGGATCTAAAAACGAGACCCAAAACAAAGTCAAGTTTTCCCTCTGAATAACCGCAAATTTCAATTTTCCGTTCATTAAAATTCGTGAATAGCACAAAGCATACAACACACTCACAAAAAAAAACTACAACCCCTCGAAACTCAAATCAAGCCAAAGCCCATCGGCCCACCGAAAATTCAGATCCACCTTTCACCCACACATCCCATCTTCATCCTTCACACGGAAAGCGGAAAACTCGGTAAAGATTTCACAAATTGGTTTTCAACAAAATGAAAAATTCATATACGTGCGCCGAGTGGCGAAACCCGAATTCTTGGCCCTCCTTTAATCGAAGCGAAAGGCCGCAAAGGTTGGGCCTCAAAAATGGGTGGAAAAAACGAGGAAAATCTTGGGATTGGGTGGTAAATTTAAGAAATGAAGATGGGAAACCTGTTGACGGGCGCCACTCACCATTGTAAATGTCCGAGGCCGTGGGTATGTGCTCCGTGTTGAAGCGGTTCTCCAGATACGACAGGATCAGATTCGTCTTGCCCACGGCCCCGTCACCCACCAAAACGCACTTGATCGACGGCTGTGAGGGGGCAGCATCTGTAGATTAAATAATAAATTTAAATTAATCTTAAAATAATTTAAATAATATTTAAATTTTAGAATCAAACGAATAAGCCAATATATCTACGGCATCCAGAACTCTTACAAGTACGAAAATGTGGTAAGAAATAATAAGTAAAGCAATTTATTATCATATATCATATAATTTCAAAATTTGTTCATATTTGTATACATGATTTTTTAAAGGAAATATTTCAAACTTAACAGCTTTTATATTTAACCCATAATTGGTTTATAATTTAAAAAATTAAACAATAGCCTTCCGCCAGACAGCTATCAAAATAAAACTGGGAGGCGGCCGGTAAACTTCCCCAAGGAAACTTTTTGGCATCTAGGTTGCAGATGGAAATTGGCCCTAAATTGGCAACCACTTACCCTTTTTGCCACCCTTTTTGGCCGTTGTTGCGGCCTCAGCTGCTGCCGTTGTTGTTGTTGTTGCGGCTGCTGCGGTTGTCTTCTTTGATTTACGCTTACGCAGTAAGAATTTGGAGCCCTTGCCACTACTGGCGGCACTTGTGTCGCTCAGCGATTGTTGCTGCAAAAAAAGAAAAGAAACGAAGCAAATTTAAATACGAATTTAAGAACGATAAAATCACTTAAACGAATTTATATACATATGCATTTAAATCCAGACTACAACATTTCACTCGGCTGCATTTAGATTTCCATCAAAATTTGATTATTTCCGAGCCGCATTGCGCATACGCCCGGTGTTCCTTGGAAAATTCGCCAAGAGTGGCAATTAAATAATGAAAGCCAACAGATTGAAGCAGCTGTGTGTGTGAGTGAGTGTGTGTGGGCCACATAGGTGTTAGCCATTTTCGGTTGGCGGTGGATGGAGGCTGAGATGGAGGGGTGCCAACTAATGCCTAGCGCGACACTTTTGCCTCGCCCGACTAATTTAATATGCACATATAAATTAGTCAGGAAGACAGCAGCTGCTTTCTAGGGAGAAAGGCGGGAGAAAGTGGCGTGGAGAGACAGGAGAAAACAGGAGAAGATTGACTGACAGACGAATAAAAATAGCTGGCAATGTTGCAGCAGTTGAAGACACATTTTGTTGATTTCTGGTGACATTGCGTATACGCCACCGACTAACAACCTTCGATGGCTTGAGTCTGCTTTTAGAAACGTTTCTGAAAATCTCAAGGATGTATTTCCCCTAACCCGAAATACATTTGGCAACTTTAATCAGAAGTTGGATTAATTATTTAAATACTTAAAACTTAAAAATCTATAAATTCCCACTTAATTTTTTTTCGGATTTTTCCCTTTTTATTGCTTCTCAATTTACCACTCAGCTTTTATTTTTTCCGGCCAATAAACATCGCACTAGCCAAGCGAATAAATATTCTCTGTATGTTTGATTTATTCAGTGAGCAGAGAAAGGGCAAATACAGTGTAATCGCTTTTTCAACAACAATTTAACAATTTAATTTATGAGCAACAGTTTGCAATTATTGCCCACTATTTGTTTTTTCTTGTTGTTGATTAAATCAAATCGTTTTATGGCCAACAGAAATCAGCACTTGAATTAATAATAGGCCTTAAAAGCATAGGTTCGACTAGCAGATACGTAGTAATTTGTCAGAAACTCATTTTGGGCTTCTAAATTATTTTGACTAATTAAGAAAAGTATTTTTTATTTATTATGAATTTTTATTTAGTTTCTAGATCTAGATCTACCAACTAATATACTTTCCATACCCTAATTGAAATTTTTTTGCTTAAACAAACTGCTGAAATTTTTCGAAAAATGCCACTTCATTCATCAATTTAATTATATTTAACTTTGTTCATATGAGCCAAAGTAAGCACAATAAATTAAACACAAATGAAGTGGCAACAAAAAAATGAATTTAATAATTGCACAGTGAAGTTTAAAGAGTTAAATATAAATATTTTAAGCCTATCAATCAATGTACAATTGCCAATTACAAGTTAACTTCTTGATGGGGGGGGGGTTGGTCCTGGGAAATTCGGGAAAAGAAAAGCCTTCCTGTTTTCCCAATATGCTTGCCGTTCAAGTGGGAAAACATATTTGCCAGACGCTATCTAAATCAATATCTAAATTGCTCTGCGTTTTGTCGTTGTCAACTTGAGAAGGTCGCTCGTTTTCCTCCCTCCTCCTGCTCTCCCTTTTTCTTCTCCACACTTTTCCATCCTTCGCTTGCCATTTTCCGCTTGTTAGGCGATAATATCTCTACACGAAAGTGAAACTTAGAGTTTGGGGTTGGGATGGAATGCCAGAAGAAAGCTCAAAATAAAAATACACACATAATCGATAAATGCAGGCAAAAAGGTTTGACCTTTAAGAGAAATTGAAAAGAACTGTTAGGCAATCGGTCAATCTGGCAATTAACCTTTGGAAAGAACAAATAACTGCTTTCAGGTGGCGCTGCTATTAGTTTTACTAATTTCCCAGGCTTTGATCAAACTTTTTCGGCGCATTATTCACGGCACTCCAATCAACATAAATATAAAAAAAAATATAATAAAATAAAGACTCCCTCCCCTCCCCCTTTTAAATTAAATTAAAACGTCTCTCTTTCACTTAACTTCCTACCGTTAAGCTGACTAAAAATAATTCCTTTATTTTTTGGCCATTTTTGGTACATAAAACCGAAAGTCAAAGCCAAGTTTCTCCTCTTGACAGCCAGCCAACTTTGCTCGCAGCCAAAAGAAGCAAACTTTGCCATGTGCGTCTTAAACTAAATAAAGCTTCCATTTTCCCCTCCCAAAAAAAAAGAGGAAAATGTTAAGGGCCAGTCATGTCAAGAAAAAAAACCCCACTCCCCGGGGCTGAGGAAAACTTTACTCCTGGTCTTTTGGTCATCGTAAATATGCAACTTTTTAATAATTTCATTCGGCCATCGCTCCTCTTTTGCGGAAAATACTTATGTACTTATAATTTTATTTCGAAATGGTCGCAGTTTTTTTCTTCCTGTTTTATTTTTCCTTTAAAGTTTGTCGCTTTAACCCTTGACTTTCACGGAAAACCCCAGGGGGACCTGAAGTTGAGACAAATAATTGTTGAAAAAATATTGGCTGCCTCGCTGCGGGTTGTGGCAATGTAAATAATAATTTTTTATTTTAACCGAAAAACTTTTTCACCCCCATATATATATTTTTAAATATATATATAGTTTTTGTGGGTTTTAAGAAAAACTCCTGCAGAGACAGAAATATCTTTAGAGAGCCGGCAAAAACGCAGCAACAATAAGAGTTAAATAAATCAAAAGTGGTGGGAGAGAGAACTCCTTCTGGCTAGAAACTTGGGTGGTTTTGGCCCGGAAAAGGGAAGTGACTTCTGGCTTTATTCAAAAAGTTACTTCAGCATAAAATTAACCACGCAAAAGCAACTAATAAAAATGTTTAAGTATTACCAGATAAATGAAATACATATAAAACGTGACAGAATAAAAAATAAATATATAATAAAAATTGTTAATAATGAATAAAATAAATGAATGAAGTATTTAATTGATCTTTAATCAATAAATTCCCCAAATTAAAGAGAGACAATAGAATCTATTGTTGGCCAACTTGTAACCTTTCGGCCGACATTCGTGTGTTGTCATCCTGCCTTTCTTGGCCATTAAAAGTTTTTGTTTTGGCCAGCATGTAAATCATGCTTAAAATACAAGGACAAGGCCATTTCAGTGTGTGGGTGGTGGAGGGCAGTAAACTTGAAAAATGGGTCAAAGTTTTCTAAGCATGCGAAAGGAAATATATTTTGGGCAGGCAAATGAAGCAGAAAAACCTGTCGTTTATTTGCCAAAAAATGCCTAAAAAAGTAAGCAAGCTGTTGAAATTGTAATTTACATGTTTTGGCAAAATAAAAAGAGATAGCAGAGCAGAATTAAAAAGAGAGGTCCTGAGAGTTTCAATTGAATCCATTGCCAGGGGAAACCCCCATTTTTTAGGCCCCCACAAACTCACATGAGACCAAACTTATGGGGAAAAATCGACAATAATTTGTGTTTAATATATGAATGAGAGGGAAAAACAGCTGCTGCTGGCACAAGAAATTTAAATTGAAATTGATGGAATTATTATTTATGGATTATGGTTGGGTATGGATATATTTGATTTGATATTTGTCAAACTCAATTGGTTAAGGAAAAATAAGAGAAATGTTGGTGAAAACTTCTTCGTATTTTAGGCAAAATAGTAATTAAAATAGAGTAGAATATTTTTTGCCTTAGATCAAATATAAAAATTATATTTTTGCTGGCCTGGATTTTTGCATTTTTAATTTCGACACACTCAAAAGTATTGGCCCATTTCGACAGCTTTTGACAGATGATATTTATGGAATATTTTACGATTGCATTTTTCGCTTTTTGGCCATATATTTACGTCATAAGCTGCAAGTGAAATACCTACATATATATTCTGCTGCTTGTGATTTTCAAATTCTAATTTGCTTTTATGCTCTTATGAAACGTACTGTGTTTGTATGTTTTTTTTATGGCATGTTTATTGGTAACCTCGTTTCTGTTCTTCTTTTTCCTTTGTTTTTGATGCAACAGCAGCGCAGCAACTAATAAAATTGCGGTCTATTTAATGGCATGCCACTTATTGCCTCAAAAACACACTGGACGATGGAGAGGCGGCAGTGGAGATAGGGGAAGGGGGCGTGGCAGCGGTTACTACTAAAAGCACAACCGCAAAAACCGAAACTAAACAGCAGCGCAACAATTCCAATGAGCAAAATTGTTGTACGCCAAAATGGACATGAAATTAGTTTCTATTTCTGGCCAAAAGCTGTTGGCTGGAAAAGTCAGGGGGTGAAAAATTGAAAGTGGGAGTGATAATATTATTATTACGCAATATTTAAAGCTTGGGAAAAGGAAAACTAAAGGGGTACAAAATCACTTTTGCAATATTACAAACTATTTTAAGGGTTTTTATTGTGGCTCTAAAAATTCCTATTTTATATTTTTTCATCCTTTATTTACTTCTAAAAATGTTCACTAACCTAAAAACACACAATTTACCATGAAAATTAATAAAAACACACAAAATTCTTTTGTAAGCCCAAAAAAAAATTCGTGTATATAAATATTAAAGCTGAAGTGGAACTAAAATACTAAAACTATTCTGTGAGCTGTTCAGTAATTACAATTCTTACTTTCAAAGGCATAAAAAAACGTTGGCATTTCAACTGATGTTTTTCTAATGAAAATTGCAATGAAGAAAAAAATTTTAGAGTAGTAATAAAACAGATTTTTTGCTTTCTCTCAATGACATGTAAAATTATGAAAGACTGCAATGTAAATCACTTGCAAGCTAGTTTTTTCTTCCATTTTTTCTTCGCCACTCCTGCGGCCGCATTACTCATACGCCACGTAGTCCACTGTTTCTTTTTTGCTGCAGGTGGAAAACCCCTTTACATTTATCTTGTTTTCTGTCGCTGAGCTTTTTATTTTTCCCCAGCTGCCCGAGAGTATGCAGCGCAAATGAAAATGAAACAGAAAATGAAAATGGTCCTTGGCCAAGTTAATTGGCTTTGCGGACGTTCGCGATTAA